GTTTCATTCTGTTATACATAAAGTCACCATGAGTCACAGCTGACTTGATGGCAACTAACAAGAATAGTTATCATGCTTGGTAAAGTGGAGGGTCAGCAATAAAGAAAAGGCCCTCAATGAGAGGATTGATACAGTGGCTGCAATGATGGGCTCAGGTATATCAGAGACTGTGAAGCTGGCACAGGACTGGGCAGTGTTTCGTTCTCCTGTACATGGGGTCCCTATGAGTTGGAGCTGACTCAACGTCACCTAACAACAAGAATAGAACCCAACATTCACCCTAGGGGAGGGAAGGGCTGAGTTAATGTAGATGAGCAGGCTGCAGTGGAAGCAATGACATCAGAAACTGTGTCTCTCCAAGACTAAGTGGCCAAGGGCCTGTTAGGTGGGAGCTGAACAAACCCCAATACAACACCAAGAGCCAAACATATGAGAATCCTATATTATACATTGTGCCAACTTATTTGTACCACTATGTTTTCATTGTCATAAACATCAAGTCAAACGCTTGTTATTTGAAATTTTCAGAAAATAAACCATTTTCAAAATCCATTTCCCAGCAGACTGATGAATAGTACTTCATTTTTATTTTAACAGTTTTGTGGTAGGAAACATACACCATAGCTCCTTACCTTCTTAACTATGCTACAGATGGGAATAAAAACATACTGAGTACCAGAATCAATCATTCACATGCATATTCTGATTCCTCCTTACTCCCTGAGACAGGTATTATGAACTTTCCTATTTGTGTGTGTGTGTGTGTGTGTATATATATATATAAAAACACTGCCAGCTTATAAGAGTTAAAAGTTAAATAGTTTACCCAAAGTCATACGAGGCAACGTGAAGATTTAAGCTCTAGTCCCAATTCCCTACTCTTTTCATTCAACACACTGACTACTGATTCTGTCACTAGTTTTCTTCTTCACATTTATTAAGTATCTACTATGTTTATCTGGCAATAAGCTGGGGAAACAAAGATAAATACCCGTATGCTGATGGAGATCAAAGTTGAATAAGCACTATTTCTTAATCCCTGCCATTCTCCTTCTTTTTCTTTCTTAAATCATTTTACATTCATACATGTTCTCAGCATTCTGTAGAAAAGTTGTGCCTTTTACCTACATTATCTCAGTAATCTATCTATAAAGTGAAATGATATATTACTTTATTTTGTAATTGTAAGTAATTGAAGGGTTTTATTATTGTTCATTCACCTTCCAAAAGACATTTCTTCAGTAGAATTACTTTCCTTTTTGCTTCTTCAATTATGAGCATTTTCAAGTGTTAATATATTGGTCACTGGAAAATCAGACTGAAGAATTTCAGATCTACCCCTTCCTTTTAGGGAAAGAAAAATAATAATAATGGGCTTGCTTTATGAAGGTCAAAGGTTTTAAAACAAATGAAATGAGAAAAATAACTTATTACTTCAACAGATATATATCTTTTTGAGCATACAAATCCAATATAACTAAAAAAGGAACCTAAATAAACTAAAACAATATTGAACAAGAAAGGGATATATTAAAATGAGGAAAAGCTTAATAGTACTAAAAAATTATGTAACAAAAAAATTCAAATACCACAGAAACTATTTCAAAAAAGACTGTTATCTTCTCCTTGTTAACAACAGCCTGAATAAGATGTAGGCCTTTTACAATTAGTGAAAATTAAACTACGTAATACAGGCAGTCCCCACATAATGAGATCTGTTTCTAAGTGTGCCTTTAAATTGAATTTGTAGGTAAGTTGGAAAACGTGCATACAGTTCTTGTTTAGCCAGTGTAAGAAAGGGCTTGAAGTCTTTCCACTGATTTAACAGTTGTGCATGCAGCAAGTGAAGATGACTGTGATGAATTTCTTGTGAACAGGAGTTAGTTCAGTCATTTCAAAGTGAGGTCAAGTATACATGACATTAAAGGACAAGGAGGAATTGACCATAAGTCGTAGTTCCTAAGTCAAATGTGTACAACCCCACAATTGCCTGTACCTGTAAAGAGTTTTCCCTTCCTTTCAAAATTAAACTGTGACCTACTTCATATAACGTAAGTAAAAGGCATGCTATTTCATGTTAGTAAACTGCATTTACTCAGAATATGAAACATTTGACTTAAGACACAAAACTGTGTTCCTCTAGAATTATAGGAGCTTTTCTTTACTTACATACCTTGCTCACAGACCTTACTTTAAAGCAGGTATATATAATTGATTACTAAGAATAAGGCAACAAAAAGAAACAGGGAAAATCAACACTAAATCCAGCAAACTTTTTAATATATATGTAATTTAAGATACCAGTGAGTTAAACCAGAAACTTATTTTGCCCAAACTTAATGAAGGCTCCTGATACTTTACTTTAGCTGTGATAAAGAATAATTAGTATACCTTAATTACTAACTTCTTTACATAACGGTACAAATAATTAAGCACTAGACTACTAACCAAAAGGCTAGCAATTCAAACCCACCCAGAGGCACTTTGAAAGAAATCTACTTCCGAAAGGTTACAGCCTTGAACTCTATAGAGCAGTTCTACTTTGTACACATGGCATTGCTATGAGCTCAAATCAACCTGATAGCAACTAACTACAATAATATAATTAAAACAACTCTCTTTGGCACCCCTTGCAACTTTCCCATAAAAAATATTTAGTTATGGATTTTTGCACTAAATTAAATTGAAATTGATCTTAGCGGTGTTCAACACAACCACTCATGCAAATAATATGGATACGTGGCAACTTAATCCTATTCAAACAAGAAAACAAAGCCCCTCCCCCAAGGCTATAAAGCTGATTACCTCACCTTTCCCCCAGGGAGTGGCTGGTGGGTTTTTGAACCATCAATCTTTTGGTTAGCAGCCAAATGCTTTAACCACTGCACCACTAGAACTCCTAATCCTGTTATTATCAATAAGTGAGAACTATACATGGTGTGGACAAACTAATATATATACTATCTATTCATGTTTTCATACACACTTACGTAAACATACATTTACATTAGCTTGAATATTATTATGGTAGTAAGTAGATGGGACATAAAAAGTTAATTTTATTCATGGTTCAACAGCCAACAGGTATTTTTAAAGAATATATATGGAAGGATTGCTGCTAAGAGTTGTTTCTTTCTAAATTCAGCTAAAAAAATTATTCTTCAAAAGTAATTGCCTTTTACTATATGTGGCATTGAGGAAGAGGAAGACATAGAGAGTTGCATGGGAGGTACAGACAACAAAGATGAACCCTTTTGTCATACAGTACTGCATTGTCAGTAACGGCAAACATTGATCTATGGGTGGATAGGTGGGTAGACAGGCTGAACGATTAGGTATGTCTATGCAGGGGGAAGTGTGCCCATGACCATGCATAGGGTTGGCAGACAATGTTTCTAGAAGTGTATTTTTATGTTCTATAAGAATTTCCAGGTATATAGTAAAGTTGACAAAGGGACAAGGTTGTAGTCACTTCTTGGCCAGTCAGTTATCCAAAGGGAGCAAGTCATTGCACTGGTGAGCTCGGGACCATGGTCGCAGGGGACATCAAGCTCAAGTGGCATAACATACTATACAAAAACATTGCTCTACATCCTACTTTGGCGAGTAGCAACTGGGATCTTAAAAGTTTGCAAGAGGCCCCCTAGATGCAACAATGGGTATCTCCTCGTCTAGAGCAAAGAAGAATGAAGAAAACCAAAGATTCATGGAAACAATTAGTCCAAGCAACTGGTACACCACGATCCTCAGCTTATAAGACTATCAGACCAGAAATAGATGGTGCCCGGCTACCACTGTCAATGACTCAGAGGGGGATCTACATAGGAGATCCTGGACAGGGTGGGAGAACAATGTGGAACAAAACTCAAAATCATTGAAAACAAAAAAAAGGGACCAGGTTTGCTGGTCTGATAAAGCCTGATGGAATCCCTGAGACTATGGCCCCAGATCCCCCCTTCAGGTCTAGAATTCAACCCACTCTTATGGCTGCTAGACAAACAAAAGACAGGCATATGAGCTGAACATTTACATTAAGTAGATATACTACTTGGAGAAATCAATCATGGGAGAATAGAAGTGCTGTGTATGCACATGGAGATAGCTCCGGGGACAGGAGCACATGGGAAGGAAGGACACAGGGAAGAGGTAACTCTGGGGAGAAAGTGGGAGGGGAGCTCTTGCACTGTGGGAAATTGCAGTTGATGTCATAAGACAAAGTGTATGTGAGCCTCTGCATCAAAAATGAATTTGCTCTGTAAACTTTCACCCAAATCACAATAAAAATTTTTTAAAACTTGCCTTTTAAAAATCATTTAACCTGCAAATATTAATTTTATAATTGAAATAATTCACCACCACTCAGGGACTAAGAAAATATATTAAGGAGATTTGCACCTCTTCAGTGATGATTTCAGAACCGTGAAAATGTATGGCAAAGGATAAACAGATATAGGCTCCAAAGTCCAAAAGAAATGGGTTATTGAAGCTATCAACCTGATTATTCCTAAAATCACTATATTCCTTTGAAGTAACTAAACTATAAAATCTGCAAACTAATAGTGGGGAATGCCAAAATAGAGCCTTCTGCTAGTCACAGGAGATTTATGAGTATCACATCCTACAAGTAAACATGCAATAGATAGGAAGCACACTGATATGAACACAATATGATAAAACTGAAAGGACAGAAGGCACATTGAAGAATACAATCCAGTGCATGAGAAAGAATGAAGGTATAGTAATAAAGAAACAGTCCCTAGAAACTCTTATCTCAGGCTTAAAAAATGATTTAAAAAGCAAACAAACAAATTTAAGTCATCCTATGCAAAACCGAAAAGAATGCTTCCTTACAGTGTTTAAAGGGTTATTTATCATTTAGCTTTAAAATTTTTTTTTAAAATCTGAAATAAGGAAAAATATAATTTTCTTCCAATTCTGAACATTCAGCAAACAACCTCGATTTCTTTTTCTTTCTTAAACTAAAAGAAAATTAGATGACACTAGTGTGGTACAGAGTTCACTGTGGACTCAGTGTTATTTTCTTCATCCTGCTTTTCTTCTTCATGGACTGAATCCAGCTCATTTCTGCTGTATTCCTCCTCACTGGAATCACTGTCCAATCCACCTTCAACATTGGGAGATTTCTTGTCATGTGAAGAACTTTCACAAGCTTTTTCTGTGGGAACAGCTCCTTTACGTTGGGGTAAGATAGTAAAAAATGCCTCTTGCCAGTCTCTTGCTTCCAGGTATTCCAGAATAATCTCAAACACTGTAATAAGAACAAACTCCACACATTACTCAGCCACATTCACCACCACGTCGTATACTGTCTTTTAAAATCCATTACCTTTGTGTTGGGAGTGCTAGTCTGTCTTAATAACTACTTGATTGTATTTTTTCCTTCTCCTACATGCTGTCAGGGACCATTTTCCCCAAGACCCTGAAGTCTGGCACCATCCTTATCACTTTTCCTCAATTCCATTCTTAAGCACTCAGGGCTTACAATCCTAATCAATTATAATCAACAGAGGACCTTTGTACTTTCCTTCCTAGTTCTTTATTTCTTTCACACATGTGCTGATATAAAATTAGGAAAAAAAGTGCCTAGCATTAATCTAAATTTCTTCTATATGTCCTGTAAAGAGCCACTTAGTCTGGGAAGCTTCTTGCTAGCTTTTTTTTTAAAAAATATTAGGAATAAAGACTATTAATACTGTCTCCAAGGAACACTCACCTTAATACACTTTTGAAGGTTTAATTTGAATTACTTTGTGGAAAAGTAATTTCTACTGTATATCAAAGATCTTATAATAAGTTCATTTCATTCTTTGGATAAATAATTACATTTCTGTAATATGTTAGGGCCTGCTACATAGACAGTATTTATCATACAATAATAGCTCAATAAATAATTATATATTACAATTTCCCTCAAATTAAAAAAAAAACAAAACTTAGGTATAAGATGTCTATTAGCAATAGCAAAAAGAAAAAAAAATATTCAGTAATAGCAAAAAGGTTAAATTATTGTACATCACAAAATAAATTATGATATAATAGACTACCCATTAATAATTATTCAGTGAAATAAAAATATATGATAAATGGAAAAAATCTGCTATCATAAAACTGTATGCAATAGAGTAAGAATCTAATTATGTAATAAATACTGCATCAGCATAAAAAACTGGCTTGAAGCATACCTAAAAGCTACCATCAAGCATCTGAAAAAAGTGAGATTATAGCTTGTTTATTTTTCTTTATACTTTCCTACATTTTAAAACTTTTCTAAAATAAATATGCATAATTTCTATAATTTAAACAAAGTATGTTGTTGTTGTTGTTGTTATTTGCCGTCGAGTCGCCCCCGACTCATAGCGACCCCTCCTTGGGTTTCCGAGGCAGTATCACTACGGAAGTAGGATTGCCCAACCTTCCTTCCGAGGAGTGGCTGGTGGGTTTGAACCGCCAGCCTTCTGGTTAGCAGTCAAGTGCTTTAGCCACTATGCTACCAGAGCTCCCAAAGTATAAATGATTATTTTTTACAATTTTGTTTCTGGCAAGGTGTAGTATTTTCCACTGTCTGAAACTTAAATGTAATGTTCTTTTTCACATAGTTCACTTGTTGTTATGTGCTGTCGAGTCTGACCCGACTCAAAGTGACCCCTCCTTGGGTTTCCGAGGCAGTATCACTACGGAAGTAGATTACTTCATCTTCCTTCCGAGGAGTGGCTGGTGGGTTTGAACTGGCCGCCAGCCTTCTGATTAGCAGACAAGTGCCTTAGGTACTCTGCTACCAGAGCTCCCATAGTTCACTTAGGCATACATATTTTCATTGTACCCACCCCTTTATAACTTACCATGATTAACTGCTAAAACTTTTCGACTATTCATCTTCACAAAATTTCCAAGTGGAAGCTGTGCATGTTCAATTCCATAATCTGATGCTTGTTTATATGTGAGTCCCTAAAACAAAGACACTGTGGCTTGAACTCAAAAAGACTACATCAAAATCACTGCCATAGAATTGATTCCGACCCATAGCAAGCCCCATTGGGTGTCCAAGGCAGTAAATCTTTACAAACGTAGGTTGTCCCATCTTCTTTCTGCGGAGTGCCTTATGGGTTTGAACTACCAACCTTCTGGTTAGCAGTAAAATGCTTTAGGCACCATGCCACCAGAGCTCTTTGTTCTTGAATTAGAACATTAATTATTTTAAATTAAGGTCTATGATAGGATAACTAATCCTCAAAACAGCTTTAGTTCAGAGAGTATTATCTGAAGAGTTCTAAGTATGTGTATGTGCATGCATGCATTTCATTGCTAATCTGGCAATTCTCTTGATAGTAACTACAGTCAGACATTTGGGGCACTTGGTGTAACTTCCTGATTAGTAGTAGCATCTTCTCTCAGTACAGACAGTGCTTAAGCATGTGAACTCTGGAGCATTCTGCCTGGTTTCAAATCCCTGCTTGGTCATCTACTAAGTACTGACTTGAGGCTTAATTTCTCTGACTCAAGTTCCTCATTTATAAAATGGTGGTAACAGCACCAATTTCACTAGGTTTTAGTGAGGATTGTTGTTGTTGTTGTTGTTGTTATGTGCTGTGGAGTCAGATCTGACTCATAGCGACCCATCCTCAGGTTTCCGAGGCAGTATCACTATAGAAGTAGATTGCCCAACCTTCCTTTCGAGGAGTGGCTGGTGGGTGTGAACTGCCAGCCTTCTGGTTAGCAGTCAAGTGCCTTAAGCACTATGCTACCAGAGTTCCTTAGTGAGGATTAAGCTAGCTAATACATGTGAAGTTCTTTGCTTAGAAAGAAATGTAACTGACATATAGTAGGTGCTCAATAAAGATCAGCTACAACGGCATATAACAACAACAACATCACTGGTATCTGGGGGACTACTGAGAAACTGTAATATATGAATTTTAAGCAACACCTAAAGCAAAAATAGAAGCACCTTGTGATGATTGTGATCTACTAATCCTCCAATCACATAGGCTTTTGATTCATCTAATTCCTTCAGTATATTGGGTGAATCTGATGTAAGATAAATCAGGTCTTCTTTCTTTATGAGTTCACTGTAGTGCTCTGGCTTGATGTGGATATCCTTAAGACACAAGGGGAAATACTAATTAATAGGGTTTTGTGAAAGTTGGCTAAAAGGAATTGTTCTCTGTTCACAAGACAAGCACATCCAAAAATACATGAAATGAAATTTGAAAGAACATCATTACTATGTGTCATTTAGAATCCACTACTTATCTAATCTAATCCTTACCATTTAACTTCTCAATTATTGAAAGAGCCTACGAATTTTATTCCATTTCTGGCCTTAGATCTCTCCAATATACTTCCACATACTGATGGAAGACTCAATTTCTAAAAATACTCCTTTTACCTGTATGATGAAACAAAATTCCTTAATAATTGTTTCCTAAATTTGGTTATTAACCTACCTTAGCAACTTGCTCTAATAGCTCTAACCCTGCAAACACAACAAATAGTTACATTGTTATCCAGCCAAGATGCCATCTCTATTACTTCCTTTCCATCTATTCGTTAAAGACCCAGTTCGAGTCAGCAGGACAGACTTATGTTATTGTTGTTGTTAAGGGGTGGTGAGTCCACCATGACTCATAGTGACCCTATGTACAACAGAACAAAATACTGCCCGGTCCTATGCCATCCTCACAATCCTTGGTATGCTTGAGCCCATCGTTGCAGCCACTGTGTCAATCCATCTTCTTGAGGATCTTTCCATTCTTTGCTGACCCTATACTTTACCAAGCATGATATCCTTCTCTAGGGAATGGTTCCTTCTGACAACATGACCAAAGGAGGTGAGACAAAGCCTGGCTATTCTAGTTTTCAAGGAGCATTCCAGCTGCACTTCTTCTAGGACAGATTTGTTTGTTCTTCTGGCAGATTTCTTCTTCAGTATTTTTTGCCAACATCACAATTCAAAAGGCATCAATTCATTTTTGGTCTTCCTTATTCACTGTCCAGCTTTCAAGTGCATATGAGGCAATTGAAAACATCATGGCTTAGGTCAGGTGCACCCTAGTCTTCAAAGTGAGATCTTTGATTCTTAATACTTTAAAGAGGTCTTTTGAGGATTTGCCCAGTGCAATATGATGTCTGATTTCCTGAAGGCTGCTTTCATATATGTTGACTGTGGATCCAAGTAAAAGGAAATCCCTAACAACTTAAAATTTTTCTCTGTTTATCATAATGCTGCATATTGGTGGGGCTTTTCATTGTCTTTATGTTGAGGTGTAATCCATACTGAAGACTGTAGTCTTTGATCTGCATCAGGAAGTGCTTCAAGTCATATTCACTTTCAGCAAGCAATGCTGTGCCATCTGCATATTGCAGGTTGTTAATAATTCTTCCTCTAATCCATGCCATACTCTTTATATAGTCCAGCTTTTCAGATTATTTGTTCAGCATACAGATTGAGTAAGTATTGTGAAAGGATACAACCCTGACATACACCTTTCCTTATTTTAAACCATGCAATATCCCCTTGCTCTATTCAAACGACTGCTTCTTGGTCTATGTACAGGTTCTTCATGAGAACAGTTAAGTGTTCTGGAATTTCCATTCTTCTCAATGTTATCAATAATTTGTTATGATCCACACAACTGAATGTCTTTGTATAGTCAATAAAACATAAGTAAGCATCTTTCTGGTGTTCTTTGCTTTCAGCCAAGATTCATATGACATCAGCAATGATAGCCCTCATTCCACGTCTTCTTCTGAATCCAACTTGCACTTCTGGAAGTTTCTTGTCAGTACACTGCTACAACAGTTTTTTAATTATCTTCTGGAAAATTTTACTTGCGCGTGATATTAATGATATTGTTATAGAATTTGCACATTCTGTTGGTTCACCTTTCTTTGGAATGGGCACAAATATAGATCTCTCCCAGTCAGTAGGCTACGTAGCTATCTTCCAAATTACTTGGCATAGACCAATAAGTGCCTCCAGTGTGGCATCTGTTTCTTGACACATGTCAATGGGTATTCGTCAATTCCTGGAGTGTTGGTTTTCACCAATTCCTTCAGTGCAGCTTGGACTTCTTCCTTCAATACCATTGGTTCTTGATCATATGCTACCTCCTGAAATAGCTGAACATCAACTAATTCTTTTTTGGTACAATGACTCTGCGTATTCCTTCCACCATCTTCTGATGTTTCCTGCATCATTCAATATTTTTTCCATAGAATCCTTCAATATTACAACCCAAGGCTTGAATTTTTTCTTTAGTTCTTTCAGGTCAAGAAACGCCAAGCATGTTCTTCCCTTTTGGTTTTCTTACTCCAGGCCTTTACACATTCATTATAATAATTTACTTGGTCTTCTCAAGCTGCTCTTTGAAATATTCACGTGCATAATCTCCATTTATGTTGGTGATAAATGGTATTTGCAATGAATAAGTCTCTGGTCTTGCAAAATTCTATCATGCAATCTCTGACGTCATTTCCATCACCAAGGAACTATTTTTCAAATATTGGTGATTCTTCTTGGTTTCCAAATGTTGCATTCCAATCACCAATAAACACCCATCCATCTTGACTGACTGTTTGGTCAATTTCAGACTGCAGAAGTTGGTAAAAATTTTTAATTTCTTCATCCATGGCTTAGGTAGTAGGTGCATAAATTTGAACAACAGTATTACTAAGCAGTCTTCCTTACAGGGATATAGATATTTCGTATCACTGACAGCATTCTACATCATGATGTTGTTGTTAAGTGCCATCGAGTTGTTTCTGATTCATAGCGACCTCATGCACAGCAGAATGAAACACTGCCCGATCCCGCGCCAGCCCCACAATCCCTGCTATACTTGAGCCCATCATCGCAACCACCATGTCAATCCTTCTCGTTGAAGGCCTCCACCTCTTTTGTCGACCCTCCACCCTACCAAGCATGACATCCTTCTCCAGGGAATGGTTCCTTCTTACAACATGACCAAAATAGGTGAGATGAAGTCTGGCCATTCTTG